AAAAGAAAATTCTTGCGCATAACCCGTATTCGAAAACCAATGAAAAATTTTCCGACAAATGACCAATGGTCGGCTTGAAATGTGATCTATTTTTTATATAACAATGAATAAAAAAATACACAAGATAACAGGAAGGCTGAACTAAACCATTTTCGTAAGTAGTGAAACATCTTTTTAAATGGTGCACAAGAAGATAAACCTGAATCATTTTAAAATCGGACTTGAATTCCGTTATTTTGATAAAAATGAAAACTGATAAAGTTTGCATGTAAAAAGAAAATAAAGGCTTACAAATCGGAGTTATTCGTAAAAAGCAAATCTCTAAAATTAACCAAAAAAAGGTGAGCTTGAAAGAATATGCAATTTTTTTTTTTTTTTAGTAGAACCCTTTATAAGGAAGTTAGTTGCCCGACTCAATAGTTGGATTCGTTAGTTTAACCGCCACGTTCAAACAGTTTACGATAAAATTCATACCGATTGATTTTATATATAAATGATCGAAATTTGAATATATTTCATAACCTACTGAATATAAACATTATAATTTATATCTTTATCAATTATCAAAATATTTAAAACATAAAAATGTCTAACCCTACATCTACAAAAAATATTAATATTTTATTCCTCGATGCCTCGATTAAAGTCAATATCTTTAAATTTATCTATTCTCCGTTCAACTTGGCTTTAAGCTGCAAAGCATGGTCGAACATTGCAAATGATCCATATGCTAAAACCGAGTGGTTATTACAACAATTCGGAAGAGCCCATGCGTTTTTTCACGGCATAAGGTTGGGACCGACTTTTATAAATAAGAACGTATGTCAAAGTTTGTTCGCAAAAAGAGCCATCTTCTCAAGATATTTTGTTCAAAGACTTCTCATGCATTATGGAAAATTTGATTTAACTTTAATTGATCTTAGGATCGAAAATAATGTTAATCAATCCGGTGCTGGCTTGGAACGACAAAAATATTTAAACCCATGGGCAAGCAATTTGCCATTAGAAGTATTTCTTCATTTACTTAAAGAAGGAAAAGATCAATTTGGAAATCAATTTCATGAAAAGGGGAATGACATGGAATTGTTTCACTTTCTTTCAGCAGGTCCTCATGTAATTAAGTATGCACCTGATGTATTGGAAAAGAACCTTGAAACGATAGAAGATCTAATTTTATATAAAAGATTCGTCCCCTTCCCACCCAGACCAAAAACATTGCAAAGCGGTAATGAAGAATATCCACCTAAGGATGGATATGAAAACAACAGGCAACTTAACGTTATGGCGAGAGCTATACTTCTTAGACCAGAATTAACGGAATTATGGAAGAAGGTAGGATACGTAGATATTTGTAGCGATATTAATGAACCTGTCTTAGAAGGGGCAATGCTCATACTTTTTCCGCCATCTCCACCAACTGGATGGATTCGTCCGCCTGTTGAAAAGGTAGTAATGCGTCTTAACGAACTTATAGAGTTAGGATTTGAATTAAGCGACAATGTCGTTATAAACATCCTTCAAACATTTGAACATAGATTAGGCGACATTGGAGAAATAATTTGGAATGCAATTACTACAATTAGAACTGGAGAAAATAGATTTTCTTTTTTTTGGGGGCTCTTTCAGGAGGCTTTTGAGCCCATGAGGTGTTATAAAAAATTAATTATCTTAAATTTTCTAAAGTCTCGATCTGAGGAGCATGAATTAATCGTTAAACAAATTGTTGAACAACGTTTTAACAACGAAAATGTAAATAATTTAGAATTTAGGACAAGGAGGAGATCCCTTATCTTCTCAGCCAAAATATATGAGTTCATCTTAAACACATATGGAATTGGATCAGAATTAGCCTTGATGTGCTTCAAAGAAATTTTTTTTTTAAAAATTTATCATGATGACCCACTAAATGCATCATCTACTCAATCCACAACTGAACTCAATGCTATATATGATTTTTATATGCAAAGATTAAATACTTACCAAAAAACATAGAACTTTTGAAGAGCTCAAAAAATTTTTATTTTTTAAATTTTTATTTTATTACGGAGGCGACAACTTTTTTTTAAAAAAAATTTATTTTGCTAGTTACGAATTTTTTTTAAAAATTTATTTATTTTTACTGATTATTTTTTTTAAAAGATTTTATTTTGCTACGAGGTGACGAATTTATTCTTTTTTTTTATTTTTAAGTTATTTTACGGATTTTATCTCATTCATAACCAAAATACAATAGTAGTAGCAATTACCCCTTTAATAATTCTTTAATAGAATTGTTTTAAAATGTAAATAACGATTAAAATTTTTTTTTAAAAATTTATTTTACTACGGTGACGAATTTTTTAAGAATTTTATTTTTTTTTAAAAAAATTATCCTATTAATATATTAATAAAGTTAATTAAAACTAATATGAATTTTTAATTAATAATTAAAAATTTCAACTGACTTTTAATATTTCCAAACAAAATGTTAAATACATTATTAAATAAAATTCTTCTACATCTACAGAAAGAAATCAAATAATGACCAAATTTTTAAAGTTAATTCTACTAAATCCGTATTCTAAACCTATGCATATTTCATACTTTAGGGTGATGTATATTTATTATATAAAAGTAATTGCTATAAAATTTTTAAAGATAAAGTAAGTTTTAATTCCAAATATAGTTTTATTATATATTATAGATTTAATTTAAAATAAAAACTCCAGGTATCCCGAAATCGGGTTAGACTACAAATCCATATATATTTCGGAGTAGAAACTCCTTTATCACAGAAAAATGATTGGCAAAGATAACCGGAAAAACTCAAACATGACTGTGAATCTAGAATCATAGAATCGATTGCAAGAATTTTTTTTTTTTTTTTTAAATGAGTATGTTTCATACATGGTACAATAAGGGATCGAAAACTTGATTTTTTTTTTTTTATCTTAATTGATTTATTAACGGACGGATAATGCCAATTATGATCGTACTCTCAATAAATTAATATTATTCATGTATTTTTCAACAAAATATTTTTTTTAAAAATTGGAAATTTTTCAATGCAATTATTGTAAAAGTTGTGTATTTAATACGATTAACGGAGTTAATTTCTGTTTCAAATATAAACAATTGAACAATATTTCATATCTTGCGTTCATGTCCTTTTATTTGTGATTTTAATATATCCAAAGTAGTCCACTATAATTATATATATTGTTTATTTTATATATAATGATTTATTGGTTTCGACTATAGTTAGTTAATAATTATATTTTGTAATAAAAATATATTTATTATACTCTTTTTAACAATAGACTACAAAGTGGATTTTATTCTGATAAACTAAAAAATTTTCGTTATGAGGTTTACCCTCTTACAATTAAGAAATTTTTGTTTCTAATATTCATTATCAACGAACGATATTATTCACGTGATTCAATTAAAATAATTGCTCCTGTTTTGTGAAATAGACATGTGAATCGAGTGGCAAACCAGTAGAATATAAATAAAATATTAGAATTAAACAAATACGTTATGTCTTATATAGAAGTCGGAAAAAAATTCAGTATTTAAAGTCGAAAATAATTTTTATTTTGAATAATTTTTTTCCTATTAACTTTGACTATAATAATATTATTTTCAAAAAGTCTTCATGCCATCTAATAATAACAATTCGCGATATCCCAGACGAAGAAGAAAGTATGTATGAATAACTTCTTGTTTTAAGTATGTTGTCAAAAAATTAACCGTAGGCTATATTATTTTGTTAGTTAATCGAATAATCTGCCGTCATTATATTCTTCGATACGTGTGGCAAAGTAACTTTGATGCGCCATTACAAAAAAAAAAAAATCTGATCTCTGGTGCTGAAATTGGGCAAGTTTGTTCGATCGCGATCAGACTTGTTATCTCTCGACTTACCAAATCTTTTATTAACTTAGATGTACTCAAATGATTTGAAAATGAAACGTTTGACTTCATACGAATTAGTTTAATGTTATCGTATGTCCGATTGGAAAAAGTCAATACCACCGGAGGCATTCAGAGTTCTGAAACCTGGTGAATACATTGAATTAAAGAATTTGATTACAATATAATCAATTCAGGCCCTTGTATGAGGATGGTGTAAGACATGACCTTTTCTTATTTTATTCGTATATTTTGATGATCTACTTAATTCTATTCGTTTGCATCCTCATACAAGGGCCTGAATTGATTATATTATAATCAAATTTATTTAATTCAATATATCATCAGGTTTCAGAATCCTGAAAGCCTCCGGTAGTATTGACTTTTTCCAATCGGACATACGATAACATTAAACTAATTCTTATGAAGTCCAACGTCTCATTTTCAAATTATTTGAGTATTCATGATCCCACACAGATGGGAAATTAGTAAGCATAATTCGCTTTCTTTTTCTTTTCGGAAATAAAATTATTCATCTAACCCAACCTTTTAAAATCGGAGAAATATGTCAGCGTGTTAAGAGAGTTTGAGAAACTCCTTTAAATCTTCATAATTTATTTTACGATGTATTATTATTATACTTATCCACAATAAATTTATTAATTTTTTATGACATATAAATCTTAATTATTTATTAATCAATGAATTGAACTTTTTTCTACAAAAAGTTTCCGGTTTATCCATAAAATACGATTTTTAATGCTATCATGGTGTTCAATTTGTTAAAATAACATAAATAACATTCGATTCGTTATTAATTTGTAAATTTTATTAAATGTTGAAAAAAAAAGTTAACGCATTTTTTTTCATAAGTCGGAACTAATATTATTTCTATTTTTAATAATATCTTTCTAATATCTTAGCTCAGATTGCAAAACCTGATAATGAAACTTCATTTATAAGTTCACTTTTTTCGCGACTTCAACAAATAGAATAATATATAAAATTTTTTAAGGGTTCATTAATATAACGATGACTCGTCCAATATACATTTTTAAATGTTTGTTTATTTCCTAATCCTTTTAAGCTCATTGATATAAATTAGAAGTACTTATTAAATATTGTGAGTTCCCACGTCTTTGTATATAGAAAACGAAAAAATATTTATAATTTTTAGTTAAAGTACAATATTTTTATAATATAAGTAAATCAAGACGAATGATCGCTCCGATATACCAGTCTGGTGCAAAAGTCTTTTGACGATCAGTGATAAAATTAAAAGCCACATAGATCAGCCAATTTCAGAGAAAATTTTTTTGGCGGGAAAATAAACTCATTAACTTGCTCTCGCGTTAAAGGCAGCCCCGGAGGGGAATTTTCATCAATTTTTTTCACTATTTCGGCTAACTGTAAAAATAAATAGTCTTTTTCTTTTTAATTAGTGGCTGGATATAATTACTAACTTGTTGGCAACTGGTAATAATTATTTGTAAGTCCGACGAAATGAAGACTGACAACAAGACTGCACAGGCTCAATCCATTCAACATTTTTGGAATTCTGGGATTACGAATGCAGCCGAAATAAGACGACGAACAAATATACCAAGGCCCACAATGTATTTTAACGACTAAATTGAAAAAAAAACCGGAAGTATCATCCACAAAAAAACGCTCCGGTCGCCCCCAAAAAATCACTTCGGAGATCTTGGACAGTATATTCTAGAAAGTTAGCGTCCAAACTTTCGCTAAAGGGTGTAAATGTGTCCTACAGTACAGTTTTGCGGCATTAACCACCTTGGCTATGATAAGAAGCGACCCATTGCAACCCCGATGCTTACAAGGTTGCATAAGCAGAAACGTATAGAATGGGCCCAAAACCATATGAATGATGACTGGAATCGCACTCTTTTTTCAGACGAAACATCCTTTTGGTTATTTAGTAACACTGTGGAATATTGGTATAAGGGTCAACGGCATCCCAAAGGACCGGACAAGAATCAACGCATGGGGTGGGGTGGATTTTGTAATCGGAGCAAAACCAATCTTTACTGCTTCCGAGAGAATATGACTGGGCAATTAATTCTATGTTGAAATAATAAAGAAGCATCTTCCTGAGATCAAGAGGATGCTACGTAACAATTGGCGCCTCCATCAGGATAACGATCCTTAGAATACGAGCAAGGTAACAAAGGATTTCCTGCAAAGAAAAGTTCCAACTGTTATGGACTGGCCATCTTACAGTCCCGACTTGAACCCCATAGACAATTTGTGGCAATTGTTAAAAGAAACGTTGAGATGCGGCAGCCACAAAATATTGGGGGTTTGGAAATTTTTATGAAGGAAAAATTCCACAGGACATTAATAAAGTCTGTTGGTTCAATGAAGGAGAGATGTAAGCTTAACGCATTCCCTATTAATTTTTTTTTTAATAAATCTTCTGGCTTTTTGGCTTTCGAATGAATATTTTGTCATGTGATTTGGCGCAATCGTTATGAAGTTGTGTTAAATATTTGTCCAAATACTTTTGCACCAGACTGTATATGCCGCCCAATTACCATTTTGAATTTAACATAAAAAAAAATTCACTTTAGGTAGCACGGCATATCATTACATAAAAAGATCTTGGACCATACCACAAATGCATGAGAAACCATTATATTTCATATTTAAGGTTATGTAGATTTATTATATAAAAGTATTAAAGTAATTACAATAAAATTAATTTAATAACATTCTGTGAGAATAAAAACTCCGCAGTCACCGTGCATTTTTCACCCGAAATCGGGTTAGATCAAAAGTTTAGACTACAAATCCGTATATAGAAACTCCATTATCACATGACTGTGGAATCTAGAATCAGATTCGATGTGAGAATTCTATAATGAATATGTTTCATACATGGAACGATAAGGGGTAGAAAACTTGATTTTTTTTTTCTATTTTATTGATTTAATAATGGACGGATAACGCCAATTATATAATCGTACCCCCTCAATAAATTAAATAATATTAATGTATTTTTCAACAAAATATATTTATTTTTAAAATTGGAAATTTAATCAATTATTGTAAAGGTCGAGAATTTGTAATTGATTAATGCGATTAACGGAGGTAACTTTTGTTTCAGATAAACCAATTGAACACATTTTGCGTTCATGTCCTTTCGTTGTGAATTTTTTTTTTAATATATCCAAAGTGGTATTATTAAAATATTTATATAAAATAAATCAATATACATAATTATATTGGTTTTCTTTTAGGAACTATTGATATATTTAATATAAACAATCAAGTTTAAAACAAGTTATTATATTCTTGTAAAATCACACCATTAAATATTATGAACAAAAAGTTTCACAGTTTCACTCATATCAATTGAACTTACGTCGCGTGAAATTCCGATACGCTCTTAGATGATTTTTAATATAAATACCTGGGTTTTTATCCTTGAACGTGCTAACAAAAAATCAAAAAAAAAATTAACAATAAGAAAAAAAAACATTTACAACAGAAAAAACATTCACATTAAAGTAAAGAATTTAAAAATGTCTAAGAAACGTAAACATCTCCGAAACGCCTGCAATATTTGCAGACTTAAAAAAAAGAGGTGTAATGTATCCCACCAATTTCGTCCTTCATCCCCTCAAAAAAAAAGAGGAAGAAAAAGAAAAGGTAAAAAAAATATATCTATTTTTTTTTTTTTTATAATGTTCGTGAAAAATTAATTCATAATGAATTAAATTTTACCTTCGGTTTCTTCTTCACCGCCATGATGTACACACCAGCACCTACTCCACCACAACCACCGTTATTTCTTTGGTGGGCTGCGCTACCTACTCCAACCCCAACCTCAACCTCACCACCACTACCATTTCTTTGGGCGGCTTCATATGTATTATAAATTTCTTAAATTTTTAAATTATAATATATATGATAATAATTTGGGTTGGTCAACCAAATAAATAAATAAAATTAATGTCCTGTGCCCCTTGTATGGATTTACTAAATAAATACAATACCTGCTATCTGTTTAATCATTTTGCGTGATTCTTTCGAACAATATCTTTTTAGTATTTATTATAAAAATTTAAGTCAAAGTCATTTAAAAAAAAAAAATAATAAATGATCTTATAAATTGCCATCACTGGATCAACCCCGAATGATGATAAACTGCTCTTTGATCGAATCAAATGATTGTCCTCCGTGACCGTGGGTATTGGAAAAAAATTGACGCGAAAAAAAGTGTAGATGCCCATTGTAAAAAATTTATCTTTATTTGTTGGTAAATTTGTTATTTTAGATCGTTGTTTTTAAGAATAAAGTTTTAAAA